GGTGTGTGTGTGTGTGTGTGTGTGTGTGGGTGTGTGTGTGTGTGTGTGTGTGTGTGTGTGTGTTTTGCTGGGGATGGAGCCCACGGTCTCTGGTATGCTAAACCACACCAGCAATATTTCTTTCTGCCCCATGTGTCACCTCTACCTCCTAGATTCTTTGAGAACATCTAGTTGAATTTAGGGTTGTCTGAACATTTCTGTGTGAATATATAATATACATTACTTATTTAGGCTCCTGGTAGCTCTGTCAGGTTGGTACTGCCAAGATAGTGGCACAAATGGGGCTACAGAAGTAAAGAGACAGTAGTACATTTCCATACAAAAGTCTGTTTCCTCTGTTCTTTCCAGGGTTGTCAAGGATTAGGTCAGGGCTCCCACATTAAGCCCAGACCTCCTCCACCAAGCTCCCTGCACCTTTCAGCTGCCCACACCCCAAGGGCAAACAGAAGCAGACACATAACTCCTTTCCCAGCTGGATTCAGCCTGGACAGCAGGGCTTAGGAGGAATGAGAAGGGAAAAGGCAGCCTGGTTTGTGGGGATTGTGAGGCTGATCACAATGGTCACTGGTCTGCAGGGATGGAGAGAAGAGAGGGGTGGATCAAGTGGGATCAAGAACAGACATAAGTCTTCAGGGACAAGAGCCAGAGTGCTCTGGATGCCAGTCTTGGGCTAATCTGGAGGAAACAGAGTTTGCCTAAGGAGTGGATATCCAGAAGATGAAGTTCAGATATTGGCTTCCCTGATGCCATCTGCTTCCATAAATATGATAGGACTGAAGCTTGGAGGCAAGGCACATGGTAACCTGCCCATGTCTGTATGCAAGATGGGAGAAGGGAAATTGTGAATACTCCACCCCCAGATGCCTTGCCCAGTCCTTGAGGAGTATGGGCTGTGCAACAGGCCTGTGGGGCACCAAAGCTCTCTGCAAAGGAGGAATGGCCTTGGGGTGATGTTTTGGGATGGTCCCTCTGGCATTGGTGTTCCAGAGAATTATTCGGATAGGAAGGCGAAAATGGGGGGAAGCTGTTGTAGGGATGTGGTCTCTGCTTCCCCGCCCCCCCAACTGCTCAGCGGGATCCCAAGGACAGGTGTCCTTTTCAGGACAGCACAGCAGGTACCAAAAGTACCAAACACTGGACATGACTCAGGGAATGGCCTAGTTTCACTTTCTGTTGCTGTGATACAGCATCCTGCCAAAAGCCGACTCAGGAGGAAAATGGTTTATTTGGCTCACAATTCCAGGTCATAGCCCTTTGTTGTAGGCAAGTCAAGTAGGCAGGACTTGATCCAGCTCGTCAACTCCTCAGTCAAGGGCAGAGAGAAAATGAATGCATGGATGCTCAGCTCACTTTTTCTACTCTTACACAGTCCAGGACCAAACCCATGGAATGGTACCATCCAGAGAAGGCCGGGTCTTCCCACATCAGTGTATGTAATCAAGACAATCTCCTACAGACATGCCTACCAGCCAACCTGATTTAGACACATCTTCATTAATTGTCTTCATGGATTCTAGATAGTGTCATGTTGACAACTAAAACACACCACCATCCCTGGGGAGGTGAGTGAAGCAAACCCTTTTTGTAAGGATGGGGATCCGGTCTTCCTCCTCCAGCCAGGGTCCTGTTATGAGTGCCTGACCATAGACACCAACGCATTCAGCCAAGTTCACCATCCACTGTGTTCTCAGTTCCATGCTCTGGGCATTCTTTCACGACAATAGTGATGACATCAGCCAGCAGAGCAGCAGGTACTGTCCACTGGGGGCTTTCCCTGGATCAGGTGGTACCCACACATGAGCTGTCATCATTCTGGGACTCTAGGCCACAGATCTTACTTCTCCGTGTGCCTATCTTATAGTAGGAAAATGAGGCTCAGAGGGCCTGGGCTCTTCCCGGTCAATGTTGGAAGAGGCTGTGGAGAGCAGAGCCAGCCTTGAAGTTTTGTCTCACTGACTCAGATGCCATCCCACCCTCCAGCCCCCATGGATCCTATGGCAACCCTGAAGTGGCAGTCTTAAGGCCACACCACAGGTGAAGATACCACAGTCCTCACAGCTGCTTTAAGCAGGTCTGGACATTGTCCCTGTTTGTCTCCAATTCTGGAGGCGTCAGGTGGAGACAGGCCAGTACCTTGAGGCCCAATAAAGGGGAAGGCTGGTCTCCAATTTTCCCTCTTTCAAAGTTCCTATCTCTTTGGACACACAAAACCTCCTCAAATAAGACACCTAAAGTTCTCCCCCCTGGGTCAATGTTTCATTGCTGTGGCAAAATAACCTGAGTAAAATAACTTAAAAGAAGAAAGAATTGCTATCTTTTGTTCATAGTTTCCAAGATTTACTGACTTTTTAGGGTCATGGGGGGTGCAGTATGCAGGATTGAAACTAGGGTCTGCTCACCTCGTGACAGTAAGGAAGGAGGAAGGAGGAAGGAGAAAGGAGGGGGGGTGAGAGAGAAAGAGAGGAGAGAGGGAGAGAGAGTGTGTGTGCACTACAGAAAATAGGGATAAGATCTACTATTCCACTGGGAGTGGCAGTGCATGCCTTTAATCCCAGGAGGCAGAGACAGGTGGATCTCGGAGTTTGAGGCCAGCCTCATCTACAGAGTTTCAGGACAGTCAGGGCTATACAGAGAAACCCTATCTCAAAAAACAAAACAAACAAACAAACAAGAACAAAACAAAACAAAAACAAAAAACAAAAAAAGATCTACTATTCCAAGGCATGCCCCACAGTGACTCACTTCTCCAACTAGGCCCTACCTCTGAAGAGCCTATTCAGCTTGGAACTCATCAGTGGGTTAATCGATTGATAATGCTAGTGGCTTCATGTGCTAATCACCCCCAATAGCCTCAATTGAAGATTAAATCTTCACATACAAACTGAATGAGGTCACTTCATATCCAAACCACAACCCATCTGAAGTGGTACCCTCACCAATGAGGGTCCCATCCAGGGCCAGGTAATAAGATCCAAGGTCTCTAAACAGTCAATGGTTGCCACTACATTCCTTCCTGTTTCTGTCTGGGCTTGTATAGTCCTTTTTGGATGGGAAAGCAAGGTGTACTAGGAGGATCTTCACCCAACTATGGAAAGGCCCCTAGTCCTTCTTTCCAAATGACGCTCATGTGTCACTGGGTTTGTCGAGCACCTACTGTGTGCCAAGATTGAAACCTAGAGTTGAAGATGTCAGAGGTTGGCCCCTGTCTTCCAGGATGGCTTGCTTGGCTCAGGGAAGGTAAGGTTTGAGGGAGCTAGATAAAGCTCACAATCCAGGCAGCCTAACTGTAATTTTGCATGGTTGTTTCTTTGTGGTTTATTTGCTTGGGTTTTTCTCATGCTTACCTCAATCTTCCTCAGAAAATAACTGGGAGAACATCCTTTAGATACTTTCCAGGATGGTGACTAAGTCTCAAGAGAGTTAAACCTTAATTGCTAGCTGGTTCCACTGCTCCCTGCTGGCCCATCTATAGGTCCTGATTTATCTGGAAAGTGAGACAGGTAGAGAGGTACAGAGATACAAGGGTGCAGACTCCCAGGGAAGGATGTCAACCAGCAGCCCAGCTTTGTAGGAGCAGTGGTGCAGACTCCCAGGCAAGGATGACAACTAGCAGCCCAGCTTTGTAGGAGCAGGGGGTGCAGACTCCCAGGCAAGGATGATAACCAGCAGCCCAGCTTTTTGGGATCAGCAGCTGGACGGCCTTGGAAAAGTCACATACTCACACTTATTCTCCACCCATGAAATGAGAGAGACGGTACTTTGTGCAGTGGCTTGTGAGGAAGCAGTCAGTCAGCATGCAAGGCCTAGAGGTGGGTGCATGCTCACCCTGCCACCTACACAAAGGCCAGAGAGTACCAGCTTTTGTGAAGCTAGTCAGCTATTCTGTCAAGATTAGGGCTTGAGCCAAGGGCTACCTTACTAGCCATGGATGAACCAGTCTACCACCTACTCCCTGCTGAGGCTGGAAGAGAAAACAGGAAGAGAGGCCACCCCTATGCTCCAGGGCAGAGTAGCTGCCATTGCGTGCCAAGCCTCATGGCCTAAAGTGATCCTCAAGTCATTCTATGTTGGGACTCAGAATACGCCCTGGGTTCTTGTCTGAGCACATCGTTCGTGGGTTGTCCTGTTTTTAATCTTCTCCATTTAGCAGTGCCTAGCATCTGAGTGGCTTGTGTCAGCTCTGCTGGCAGTTCTGTGACGAGGATGTCATTCATTCTGTTCTCCTCACTTCCAAGTTCAGAATGTCAGAACATGAGATTAGCTCAAACCCTTGTTTGGTTCCTCACATCAGTTCCGCCCCTGCCTGGGAGGCTGGCTCTGAGGCTTAGCCTTGTGTGGGTGTGCCTGGAAGTCAGCACCTGGTTAGTTCACCTGAGGAGAGAATGTGATGGAGTGGGTCAGAGAGCTCACATCTGGCCACAGGAACTATTCCTACTGAGCAATAGGCTTCAGAAGTCTAGGGTCTGAATCTGCCCCATGGTCCTCTACTCATGACATCTGGTTATCTAGGTC